GTATTCCTGGACACGCACAGTTCCATAGAATATCCAATGACGTCGTTACTAGACAGCTCGCATTCCGGCTAGTGTATACAATCATGTCAAAATATCCACTTGCCATATTTCGAAATAATTACCATTGGCAATTTTTTTTCGATGTTTTTTCGTTGTTTTCGTTTAAATGTCAGGTTTCATCGGAGATGCTGCGTAACGGAAATAAAGAATAATATAAATTGACATATCGTTATAATATGAATTGAAATATCGTTATTTAACTCCGAGGCACTTAAGTTTAAATGGATTTTATTCAATTTTGTACTTTAATATTTATATAAATATTAAATGTCGCAAAAGACTTAAAGAATCATGACAAGTAATTAATGTCTTTATTTAAACGCGTTGTTTTTTTATATATATTTTTATATATATTTTATATATATTTTTTATATATATTATAATTACTTATTAATAATTTTCTAATAGAAAATATATAAAATTAAAATACAAGTAAATTTAATTGTCTTCTTAATTAAATTTAAAAAAATTTTAATTTTCATAATTTCTTTTATTTCAATATTTTATTTTAATGTTCAGTTGCCACGTATAACTGTTTCGAATAAATTAGCATTTGAGAAACTATTAACTATATACAAAATACAGCGCAAAATGCAGTGCAACGAAAGTGCCTTGGGGTTAAATAATTCCGACCAGGGTAGTTCGGTAAAATTTGCGGTTTGCTTCGGCAACAATGGAGCCACAAAATCTGAAATTTATACGAGGCAGGTTTAGAAGTTTCACTTTAGTGGGTACTTTCGGAACTGTAGGGAGAAGGTAGGATCGACCTGGTGTTTTCATCTCTCGCTTACGCGAAAGTTTTGGTGCAGGTGTTTGCATCCGCCGAGTCATACGATCGTGCATTTTGCGTGCGCGTCGATTGAGCATTCGAAAAGTACGGAAACTCGAACGTCTCGCTTTGTGAACGTGACGACAACGCTCGTTTTCCTTCGCAGCATAGGAGATTTTTATGAAAGCTCCTGGCTGTAAGGTGTCTCGTGACACTTTCCGAGGAACAGAGACAACGTCTCTACGTTACAGTGAGTTTGCGTTTCCGCCTACCGCGCATTGAAAAAGCTCCTCGTCTTTCGCGCTTTCAGCTTCCATTCTCATCGCTTTTTTCCTCCCAACAACGTGAATATATATATATATATATATATATATATATATATATATATATATATATATATATATAGTCTGTATTAAAAGTCGCAAATTTTTATTCGTCGCTTTTAATTGAAAATTGTTTAACTTTCAAAAGTTTAATTAAACTACGTAACTTTCGAGTCGTCGACATTTCTCCGTCTCAAAATTCTCTTTTTTAATATTTTAGCTCTTGTTAATGAGTATTTTAAGAATTAATATTAATCGCGTGATATTTTGACTTAAAGTAATGTTATATCACAATTTATTTGAAATTGATTAAAAAGAAAAGATTTTATCATTCAATAAAGAGTAATTTCAATATTAACTTTCTTCGTTGTAATTTATTGATTCAAAAAATAATCGGAATGCATTATATGTGCAACATAGTAGACAATACTGTCTGGCGTTTCGTAATAAACTATGCGTTACTTCGCGACGTTAGCAAAAATAGTACAGTTTTGTTGGCTTAATCTCATCTTGTTGAGCATTATTAGCAATTTATCGCTCATATTTATTCGAATTTATTTTAATTTATATAGTAATCTTGATCAAATAGAAAAAAATATCTTCAAGTTTGATGCATGATTTTAAATTGACGCAATAATGTCATGTTTTGTTATTACTTCACTATGCATCTTGCAATACAATTATTTGATTTTGTCCATTATTTTTTAAACAATATTTTAACTGATATTTTTTTATAATTTATAAATTCCTTTATCTTGGAACAAATCAACTCACTGTCGGGGTCCATTCTTCCCGTGAGGACTTCTCTGAGCAGCGACGGAGCTAGCAAACTGAATAGTGACATCAGTTTTATTTCTGAAACACTCGCACTGTTATATCACTTTATTTTCTTATCTCACTATATTATATGATACACTATATTATATGACATTACGCATAAATAATATTTTTATTTACTATTCTTTTATAAGATCACAAAATTTTTTACACCACCAATTGTCCACCATAATGTAACAAATCTCCGAAGTACTTGATAAAAATCACAGAATTGCATAACATAATCCAAATTCAGTAGCACAAAGAAAAGATGATTCTTGTTTTATATTTCTGTTTACTTATCAAATACTCGTCAATTAAATATTTGTCACTACTCGCTGTCGTGTTGCACCTTCTCCGTATGAAACTCCACGGATGCGGGCATAATCGGAAAACGGTACTGCATACCCACCGTGAAATTTCTGTGTTTCTGTGAGAGAAGCGAGTTCTGAGCGTGTCGCGTGCCCGGGATTACTTTCGCGTCGGTGCTTATTGTTAGTCAAGATCGCATTGTCAACTTGGGTTCCTGGGAATCTCACGGATGCGCCCCTCACCGCGGCATGTTGGAGTTCTTGGCTTATGCTAATTTTGCTAGTCGGGGATCTCCCTCACTTCCTCCTCCTTCTCCTTCTCTCTCTCTCTCTCTCTCTCTCTCTCTCTCTCTCTCTCTCTCTCTCTCCTCTGAGTCCCACGTGTGCCTCTGCAATGACTGCAAGTTCGTCACCGTCACGTAAATGATGTGCATGTGTCACCGGCATATGTATCATGTTATACGCGTCTGCGCAGAATTCTGCATTTAAGTAACGGTACCAGGGTATATCGGATCTCCTGTATACTCGCTAATTAATACCCTTTTGTGGGAGCTAATTATTACCCTTTTAGGAGAAGTCAGTAATCATTCGTTTCAATATCGATACAGATTTTTTAATTACAATCTGTAGTTCCGGTTGAAGAAAAATTTTACGAAAGATTAGATTATATTTTGTAGCAATTTTTTAACATTTGTAACCATAACTAATTATTTAATATTATATATTATATATATATTTTATTTTGTTATCAAAATTCCTTAATATTATAAATAAAAATAATTTAGTCATTAAAAAGTACGTCACACAGTTAAATGATGATGAATGTCTTTTCAGAAACACGCTTGCATTTGATAAATTGACAATATTTCATTGTGTGTAGTGACTGTTCTTTTCGCAAGTAAGTAATGACTATGAATATTTCATTTTGCAAGTAATGCATGTGTTTATATGGCTAGCGAATTAATGATGAACACGCAACACCGAGTCTTAATTCCTTCATCTGTCAGGGGACATATATTGCCCAGAAAAAAGCCATTTGTGCGCGGAAAGAGTTCAATGGCCTCATAAAATTATTTCTGACAGTGATATAAATTCATCTTTAATTCACCTTGGGATTCAATATCGTTGCGATAATACGGTCGTCTTTGCGAATGTGTCTAGCACGTCGTCTTTTACGAGGATTCATTCTTCCGCTTTCCGCGGAAAAATTTCTTGTCGAGTCGTTATAACAAACTGATATTTGCAGGCTTTTGCGAGGCTATAGCGAGAGAGAGAGAGAGAGAGAGAGAGAGAGAGAGAGAGAGAGAGAGAGAGAGAGAGAGAGAGAGAGAGAGAGAGAGAGAGAGAGAGAGAGAGAGAGAGAGAGAGAGAGAGAGAGAGAGAGAGAGAGAGAGAGAGAGAGAGAGAGAGAGAAAGGGGAGGGGGGAGAAGAGAAAGAGAGAAGCTTAGCCACGTATCAGATTTTTATCAGTGAAAATCGCATTCACCTGTGTGCGCCATAGACATTATCGCGTTTTCCTTTTTACGGACGAAGAGTTGAGTCAGCGACAAGCAGATGAAGTTGGGAGAGCAAGGTGTATTAAAAACTTTTTTCATAAAATGTCGTGCGCGAAATAAGTACTATGCTACAGAAGAGAGAAGAGGAGGAAGGGAGAGGTCTTTTTCTGGTTTCGTTCATGTTAATGACATTTCCCGAATTCGTTTATTCGATGTTTCCACCTCCGTTACTCTGCTAGTTGTTAGAAAGCATCGCGTGGCTTGTGGTTTTTTAATATTCATTACGCTATAACATTGTTCCTTAATACACGCTTAAATAAGCGTGTCTTTTTACAATTTATATGAGACGAGCTTGAAATTATATTAAGAACAATTGGACACTGTTTTTCATATTTTGTTACAACGTTACTCTCTGTTCGATTATAAAATTTAAAAAAACAGGAAAAATTTTGATAATTTAATTTCTACTGATGATTTAAATTGATATAATCGTTATATTGTTTATGTAGGCAGAGAATTTTTCTCTTATAGTAATAATGAATATAACTTAGTGATAACCAAACCACCTTGCGGGATTGCAGAAAAAAGGAACATCAGAAAGCCATTTAAAAGATGCTCGTCCATCGTCAGGACGAGCATATTGAGAGTTAAAGGGTTAAACTATTTAGAAACTCTTAAACGAGCTCGTACCGGAATTCCGCGACGAAGAAAACGAGCTCTCCTTTTCTTCACGTCTCGTTGACCTGGTCGAGTCTCTTCTCTGCATCGTGATCATCTCCCGCTCCTTCCATTTCTGTGCGCGCCACGGGGCCTCGCTCATGTGACGACTCCTTACCGAGGGGGGTTGACCCCCCCCGGTTTCGCGGCTCGCCACGATCTCGTCAAATCAATAGCGAATTCGCATTACCTACGTATGCGCACCGTCTCTCTCTCTCTCTCTCTAATGGAGTCACGCGAGCTCGAGTGATGGGGGTCATTTCGTCGATCGAGTCATTAAATAATCCATCAGTGTTTCATCAATAAATAGCCGTTGCTGGCTAACGGCGTGCCTGAACTTCATCCTTCTCTCGGGTTTATTCCGGGAAAGAACGGGTGAGCGAAAACAGCCGTTTCTCGAAGTAGCCAGTCCTTATTTTCGCGACCGTTCTGTCAGTTAACTGCATCGACATCGTGCAACAACATTCGTTGCTCCTTTCTCCTCCATCAAACCAAGTGCTTTTCATGACAACGTACTTTCCATGAGCAGCTGCGATGTCCCGTACTGTACGAATGACGATTTGTTTTCCGATGTCATTTCAAGTAATGGCAATGATGAATTGATGTTATTTAAGACAATTAAGAAAATCCTAAATTTTAACTGCGACGTGTTTTCTTTTTTTTTAATTAAAAAAAGTTTTTTACATCATTTTAATTGAGAGATTAATTTTAAATGGGATTTACAAATGTTGGTTTAGCGCGGAATGCCACTAGTCGGTAGTCACAAACGAAGATCCCCGTGAAATTATCTGATCATACTTTTTATCAGCGCGAAAAAAATTCGCACAATTCTCTCATCATATTGTATTACTCGTTCTTATATCTCTCCGAGCGAATTTGCCGCGCACTTTGTACGAGCCTCGCGAATTTTTCGTTACAGTTCAATCTCCGTTTTGACGTCTTTCTCTTTCTTGTTACGTAACACCGAGATGCGCTTCTCCGCCAGATGTGCGCCTCCGCACGACGACGTCGCGACGCCAAGGCCCGACATATCACAGTTCGAGACTTCGAGCGACGACGAGCGGGTTTTGAACTGATTCCGGACCGTTTTCGCTTCCGGGATCGCACTCTGCAGATTTGACAGCTTCCGCGAAAAGCGTGCCGGCCGTTTAGAGTCGCCGGGCGAAACTAGTGCGACGCGTGGCTACATCACTGCGGCGGTCTTCATCCCTACCGCGAGCTACCTCTTCTTCGTCCGCTTCTTCATCGCGCGTCACGAAACCACCGCCGCAGGTCTCGCTTTCTCTATCTCTCTCGCGCCCTCGCGACTATTTAAATCTTTTGTAGTCCCCCGTGGTAGTCCCGCGACCAGCACTGTATCGTTGCGCCGAAGTAGCACACCGACATACATTGACGTGTTTCTTCTCCAAATAAGGAATTTTTGCTCGACAAGAGCAGTGATTTGTATAAAAATATTTTTTTATACAAAACGAACAAAAATATTATTTTATGATTTTAAAGAATTATTTTATGATTGCAAAATTTTCAAATAATTTGAAGAAAAAAAAGAGAAGCATCTTGATATCAGTTTTACAGAGTATTTTTAGGAAAATTTATAGAATATATGTAAATTTAGAATACGTTTATTAAGTTTGCGGATAAAAAAGCATCTGATGTGAATGTTGGTATGCCGACAATGTTGATATGTCGGCACTGATCAACGTCATTATATCTTTTGATGTTATTTTAGAAACTGATCACTGAGGGCGATCTTATAAATTTCGCCATTTTATTACCCGCCTTGACCGCGATATTACGTAAAAGCTATATAGTTTCAATCGAGTAAGAGATCTCTTTCCTTGACCACATATTACTTAAATTTATGTGTTTGCATTCATAAGTGCACTATGTGTATACACTATATATGTCGATAATATTGCCGTTTAAATTATACGGACGTCAAACATAAGTTTTAGCATCGTGATTACATTCTCAGGCATTCTTATTTTTGGCTTCGTCTGCTTTCCTTAACAATTTATTTTCAGCGATTTAATATCGTTTGTCATCAGTAGAGACATCGTCAGTTCTTGTGTTTAACATCATCAGTTTTGAAGTCCGACAGTGGCGCTATATTTTTGATATTGAAGAAATTTGGTGTCGGTGCGAACTGGGGCGATGATAAATTGTTCATTAGAACCGGCACCGTTTCTTCACGCGGCGATGTAATCTATCAAGAGGTTGAAAAAGGACTCGAAATAATCTCCGAGCTTGACGTAGGTGGCGTCTGGTTTTCTCATCGAGCGAGCATGAGAGAGGAGTAGAAAAAGAGAGTTCAAGAACGGGTAGATTGATCCAACAACTCACTTTGAACCCTCTTGGCGTGCTGTCAGTTTTTCTAATCGTGAAGGATTTTCTTCGCACGCCACTTGAATGCACTATGATAATCCGGCTGCATAATGTGCCGGAAAGAACAAAAAAGTCCGTGAGATACTATCTTGATTCGACGAAAGTGTCAGACACTCTTTTTTCGTTTGATATGGATTGGAGAGTTTAAAAGCGTTTCTAATATTTTTATTTTGTAACTATAACAGTAAATTATAAATATATATAAAATTTGTAATTATATAGATTGCATTTAGTTTTAAAAAATAATAACGAAATTTAAAAAAGATATTTAATAATTAAAATTTTTTATGTATATAACATAATTAATGTATTTCGAAAATTTATTTTATTTAATTACCACATTTTAATTAAAAATCGCTAATTAATGACACATATTTATTTCTGAAAATAATATTAGATAATTTAATCTGTAAAATTATTACAACTTTTACTTAGTTAAAGTAACGCGTCATTGCCTGTGATGTATTTATACTTATTTATTTATAGCTTGACCCAAATCTCTATTGATAGTTGATGCGGTTTAAAATACTGTTCAAAATACTGTCTCTGATTGATCCATCGGTGAGCCATCAAAATCGAGATTGGTTTTTCATTTCAACGGTATTACGTAGGATAGTAAGTTAGCGGTTAGCTTTTTGGAATCTGTACAGCGTCGACATCTGGATCCTGAGTTCTAAGAGAACAAACGCCATCCCGGAATATTTGCCAAAACAAAGCTTTTCTTGGCTCCCCGGGTAAATAAATCTTAAGGAAATCACGTAGACGGCACGATTCATGTACCGTCATTCAAACTTTTTGCATTAGCGTCATGCCCTCCCGCAACGTCGGCACATCCGTTCAATTTCACTCTTGGATTATAATACATGGCAAAAGTTATACAATGATATATATACCCACCATTGTTAATAGAACTTCCTCGAAGGAATGCGTTTTATCAAGCTGTCGATTTCAATGACAGTCTCTCGCGAGCTTATCCGTATTAGAATCCTCGATAATCCGATAATTAACAGCGGAGTTCCATTTCCAGACGATTAAGTCCTTTTCGAAATCTCGTTCAATTTTAGTATTTCCATGATTCATCAATTTATTGATTAATTTAACCGGTCACGTGGGATTTATCGCTGTTCACGTTCAGTTACAACAAACTCACTCTCATTTCATAATCACTCCCGTTTTACAACAAATCTTCTCTCCTTTCTCTTGATTTATTACGACACTGTTTTTCCTACTGTTTGTCAAAATAAAGTAATACCAATGCGATTGAAAGCAAACGTTGCTTTGCAAAGTGGGGCGCGGATGCGTTTGGCGTCATCTCGAGCGTATTTAGCAACTGAGTCAAGTCTGCTGGATCGAAACCGCCGGTACTAGAAACTGTACTACTCGCTTACTCGACTGGACAAATTCAGGGCGTTTGCAGGCCAGACCTCGAAAATAGTTCGTACGGCGACTTCTATCTGGTGTACGCACGTGTCTATTTTTAGATGACCGCGGCGCGATGCAGTTTACCAGATCTGCCATAAAGTCGCGCAATAAAATTGCATGATTCGCGCGATGAAATATATTTGACCTTTTGTTTGATATCACGCGTAATAACGAATTCATAATTAAAGCGATGGTAGTGAGATTCGCGAGATTAATGGTATCCATTTAAAACGTCCTCTAATTCCAGAGAGCACAATTGCACAGAGCGAGTTTATTAAAACACCTGCCGGTAAAGCACAAAAGTACTCAAATAATTAATTGTAGTGTATTTGAAAATGGCGAGGACGAGACAGAGAGGAGGAGAGCAATAACTTGCATAGAAGGACAAATTTAACTAAATTTGTTCATGATATATCTTTTGATAAAATTAGAGCTATTTCCTTATTAAAAATAATAAGACATCTCAGTAATAAGACATCTTATTTTCATGAGATTAGCTTTGTTCTCATCATGATATATTTGCTAACTTTAATAGAATAAGTTTAAATCCCCACTTTTCCATGACATATCAAAAATTCCTTTAGCACGGTAGTTAAATTAATCCTTGATTGCTTTGGCGCAGTTATACCCTGGAGGATCAAATATTTAACATTATTAGTTGGTCTGGCCTGCCACTAACGCGTAATGGAAGTCCCTGCGAAATTAATTTGGCCCTCGAGTGTGAATCGTCTATAACGGTAAATTAATAATTCAAACAGTGGTATTCGGAGCAATTGTGTTAATAAAATTTCGCTTAAAATATCTTCCTGACGAGAGGAAAAAATGAAACGGTGTAAATAATAAATCGAATAAACAGCATTGCATTAACACGAGAGAGAGAGAATTTAGATAATAACTTCATTTATCTGACGTTATACGTGCTGTCTATATATTGATAGTAGAATTTCAAGTCACTAAATTTTTAAGGTATCTCTTATCTATCTAACGAAGGAGATAAGAAAAAAGTTGGAAAACGACTCTTTTCTGTCTCCTCGTACATCGAAAATCATTTTATCCCGCTCGTTTATCGCGAACGTTCTCATTAATCGGGTGCGATCAAGCCGAAGGAAAGGAAGAGTAATCGTGGCATTACCGCGCCCTTTCGAAACGACACATTCGCAAACCGACGCGATTCCTTTCACCTTCGATTCATCGACAAATCCACGCGAGCTGCGGCCCGCCTCCCCTTCTGTTCCTCGCCCTTTACCTTGCTCCACCTCGGCATTGATGTGAATGGTCCTCAGTCTGAGCTCCTCATTCTCGTAAATCATCCCCCTCGAGGACTTCCGGTCGAGTTTTCTATTTGGCTTGACGCTGACGTCCCGCCGTCTGGTCCTCAGCATCCCAACGCCGCCGACACCACCCACCCCCGTCCCCGCC